TGTGTAACGGAGGTGCACAACTAACCCGCTCTGTGCTGGATTTTAGACCGGCTTTGTTCTGGTCTAAAGAACAGTCTATTTAAGTTTCTTAAACTAACAACACGCCAGTAATGTGCCTCAACACACCTCCTTTTTTATATCAGAATGCCTGAGGGCGCACATATGAGCACAAATGCATTTGCTATTTAATTTAACATGCTGCAAAATGTCAAAACGACTCTTGCGCCGAGCTGAAACTAGCAAACAACAATTGCGTCGTGCCTTGCACCACATTGTGCCAGGTGTATGATAGGGCCCTAAGAGTTACAGGTTGCCTGCAAGTTTCAGAACTCAACCATTCAGCGTAGTGATATGGAACTAGAATGTGGTCACAACTTGCCTGGAACTACTTTAACCGTGTGTTTATGTCAAAATAACGGCGCACATTAGAATGTTCAGAACCAGAATCAAACATTTAAAAGCCCCATGGGATTTTTAAATTAAATTAAATAAATTAAATTAAATTAAATTAAATTAAATTTTATTTTCGGAATGAATCGTCAATTTATCCAGGATATGTTTTACATAGCAGATGCCCTTCCAGCTGCAACCTATCACTGGAAAATACCCATACACTCATACACTATGGACAATTTAGCTTACACAAATGACCTATAGCGCATGTCTTTTGGACTGTGGGGGAATTAATTTTATTTCATTTTAATTAACTAATATTTTAATTATATAGTTTTTTTTTTTTTGGTTCATTTCCAATTATGTGGGGTTGAGGAAAAAAAATTATGTCTGACTATTTTTTAAAGTCCACCGGGCCAGAAGTGGCAAATGATGAAACATTTGTTGCTTTTTTCGAATTTTTTTATGTGATATGTGAAGAGCAAAACAAAGAGAAAGAAGCTGACAGATGTAACAGTGTTATGTGTGTGTGTGTGTTTTACCTTAAGCACTGCTATGACATTCGGAGGATAACTCAGGCCCACCATGTTGGAGGTTCGCCGGTACATTCTGTAAAGACGAGATAAAAACATCAAGTGAACGCGCAGCACAAACCGCAGGCTCTCCAAACACAATGCTTTATCTTCACCTTCAAAAAACACACAACATCAAATGTAGAGGACAACCTGCACTTGCTTTAAGTAAATGCATTGTCAGAGTAATTTATTTGCGCAGCCTTGCCTGAAATGCATTAGAATTTGATGAAATGATGCTAACGGAGAGAGAAAGAGAGGAAACTCGGGGGCGAAAAAATGTGTTTTTTCTGACTTATCGTGAGGATGATGTAAATGCATTCGCTGACTCACAGCAAGCTAAATGCATAGATTTATTATCATTTTCACAGAAGAATTTAAAGCAGGCAGATGAGGGGAAAATGTCAAATGATTTATGAGCACTGAAAGACAACAGATAGTAGTCTTTGTTGAAAAGTTAAAGTAAACATAAATATATATAGTTAGGGGCAATAATGATGAAACTGTTAGCTAAAACTAAAATTGTTAAAATGTTAA